GGAAACCGATCTGTAAATTTGCACCAATTCTCCTTCTCGGTAGACGTTCGTCCGCTTGTATCGGTCACAATAATTCTTCTGACTGATATAAGGACGTTGTAAACGTTTGCTTGCGAGGTTAAAAGTTTTTTATGCTTTTTTCAGAAGCGGCATGTAAACTGGTACATTGTTGGCTGCTTCATCGGCATTTGGCAGGAAAGTGTCAGAAGGCATTCTCATTTCACTACCTGTGCGCATCGCAAAAGAGGAAACGCCCGTTTATTTATGAAGTGGGGGCCTGTACGCCAGAAGGATACGCCCTACTCTCAAACCTCCATCATCCGGTTGTAAGTCTTTATTGATGGCCTTCAGCAGTCCGATCGGAGTGCGATGCGTTCTTTCTACCTACCCCTTGCCTTGCAACTGTCTTACATAGGTCTTATATAGTTCAGTGAAGAGTCGTTTCTCGAAGTTAGGGTCTTGATCACTATGAGCGAAATCAGGCACCCCATGCTAACCAATCCACCGATTGAAGAAAACTGAAGCAACTGTTTCAGCGTCTTGCGACTTCATGACTTCAACCGTGTGGTGGCCAGATGGGTCTAGCTTCGCCGGTGTCCATCGTATGCTTATCGATGTTTGCTCATTCCAGTTTTGCATCTTGCCATGAGAAATTATTCGCTTATTTAAGCAGGAGCTCATTGAGTACTTTTCTCTCGTCATCAGAATAGTAGGTCAGTTGTGCACCAGGGTCATCTAGATTGTTCATGGGAATAGCTGTGGCTCAAAAAAGGGCGTTGCAGATGGCGTCTGCGTCATCCGTTGCCAGCAAAGTCTCTGTGTTGGCAACAGTGACTGGGTGCGTGAAAAAAGTTTCTTCTGCAAAATGTAGGGCGGCTTTGTTGCAGCCTAGGAGATAAGCACCAAGTATCACGTTCCAGGCAAGTTCTGGACACACAGTGAATTACAGTGTGCAGGTTTCCTTCCCTATGGGGAATCGAAGAGCTTGAGAGGAAAGGTGTAAAGCAGAACGATGAACTCTTTGTTGTAGATGTACACTGATCATTGGGCATGTGAAATGTAAAGAGGAAGGACTCGCGCCTTGCAGTGATAGTAATAATGGGCGATTTTGGCAGGAAAGGATATACAGGTTGTTGGACTTGAAGGCGATTAATTGGACACTGGTAGGTGAATGTGAGTGGGTGGCTGAATGGAAAAGTGGTCATTTGGGGAGGAGTGTGGTTGTAGGGACAGGGGTAATGTAGTCTACTCTGCTTGAATAAGTAGGGAAGTGGGTGTGGAGGCTGAGTGAAGTAAAGGGAAAGGCAAATAAAAGTTGGTGAAATGTGTAAGGTGAGAAAATGTTGGATGACTGAAGATGTGCGATGATGAAAAGTGGGGAGAGGAGATAAGGTGGGGCAAAAAAGTGCGTCAAAACACGAACGGGTAAGAGTGTAACACCAAAAGTTTGTGTCCCCATTGGCAGTTTAGTGACTTTGAATTCACCCAGTGGAATTCTCTGATAGACAGCGATATTGAACGCGACCACTACTAAATTCAGATGGCAAGCTGTTGCGAAATGCAGGAGTGACATGACCTACGGGGATAGGACTAAAGAGGTATACAGGCCCACAAGGTGTCCTGCTATGCTTCAAGGAAGTGAGTCGTTGCATCGATACACGATGAGTGACGAGACCTTGCCCGATAAAAGTACCTCAGATGGTAAATCACGTTAACTTGGGGTGGCTTGACAGAAATGAAGAGGAGAAAACCAACATATCGGTCCACAGCATAGCCATGTGATTGTTCACTCAAAAAATAGAAAGGCACACAAGTCAGGCAAATTCCAATGGGACCACTGCATCCACATTAGACATGCCAGGAGATACGATATCATGCAACCACTAAATAAAGTTAAGCCGATGTACAGGCCTCTAAAAATGGAGCAGTGACCTGCAATTACAACTCAATCTACATATAGTGCACTGGGGACCAGTCTTTCCACCTCTTATTAGACCTAGATCCGCATGTAGTGCTGCGTTGCAGTCGCGTATCTTCTCTGTTGCCTAGAAATTCAACGCTTGGAATGGTGGCACCTGAAGTGGTATTTACGAAAAGGTGGACGAGGTGGTGGGAGTGAGGAGAGCATCCACCAACTCTGTTTGACTTGAGCCTATTTCCCCTCAGGATATCTTCGATATTCCTTGCAATTTTCGTCTTCTTTTAGGGCTACGTACAATTGTGTGAGTGTGCGTTCGGACTTACTACAATTTAAGTGGACCAAATACTTGTGCCTTATTGCCCATATTCGGAGTCTTGTAGGGTAAGAGTAGGGGTTTGGAGAAGAGGAGATGAGAATTGATGTGTGTTTGATAGGGATTGGGGCTCGCGATCCTTGAATTTGGCACCGGACTAGTTTCGCTGTGGACTCCACTACCTGAACAAACTACCTTTAGAGCCGTTTTGTATTCTTACCCTCAGCTCTTTCCACAGGCCTAGATGCGGTTCACTGTGGATCAGTCCGCACGTTCACGTAGTCATTCTACTACTAACAAGTTTTAAGCAGGTAAGAAGACAAAGCATTCTATGGAGCCTCAACTGTTGCGTGTTGGTGAGTGCTTCATAAACAAGCATAGCACTCCTTTTTCCAAATGTGCACGTCCAAATAATTTGTGCCTAGCATGCCATGACCCTTTGTTTGACTGTTTTTAACTGATTGGCTAAAGGTCGCTAAACGTGAATCAACTTACCCATACATAACGAACTCACACTTTGGAATAGCTACCAATTCGATTCGTTCAGTGAAAGCCTCTCCCGCTAGTTTTTCCAAGGCCTTCGATGGTATAACAGGAGATAACTTAAGGAGGTTCACCTCAGCTCATCGATTTGTGGCCACCAAACCAGCACAGGCGAATGGTCAACTTCCGTCTAGTGGAAATAACTGCATTCAAGGGTTCTAGCAGAAAGTTTGAATGGAAGTGAGGTGAAATCCCAATGCCAATGATCATTCAGCGGTTCGCTCTGCAAACAATCGTAATAATGTTCAGCGTTGGCAAACCGATAATCCGTAAAGTAAAGTAGGCAGGTGAAATTAAATCATGCTATCCATTCCCTTTCCTTCAGTAGCCCCATAATTGACATTTGCATCCACCCGTTTGTTCAGTCATTCTGTTCCCCTTCAGTCGGTCAATTTGTTGCTTGAGATGGTGCAAGCGTCGAGGATGTAGAAGATGTGAGGGAGGAACCAGAGGGCAAAGATTTGCCCTGGAAGGAGCAGGATCACGTGCAAGACTCAACGAGGAGATAGATGAGGTGTCTCTGAGGGAGGAGGGATATGTCACACTGTGTGAGCATCCATGCATATTCATCAGTTGCTTTCCTGAGTCTCTATCTATTCACCCTGCATTATTTTCTCTTTTACGCTTTTTATTACAACAGTCATTCAGTATCTATCTGTTTCGTAGATCTGGCAAGCCAGAGGTAGAAGCACAATCATGTGAATTGGCAAAGGCACAGGTGGAAGTGGAAGTAGAATCTGCAATTTTTCGAAACTCAATAAGTACTTGACAGTAGTAGCTTAAGCTTCCCCACAAATTTAATCTTCGCGCAAGTTTAAAGAAAAAGCCGTCCATCTAGTTTTCTTCGAACCTATCTCACTTCCAGTGATTGCTGTAAGGAATCCGTACCCTTGGCGGAGTGCATGAAGTGTCACGACATCTATTCTGCAGATGCGTCCC